GCAGCCCCCGCCGGCTGCGGGGGGCTGGGGTGGGGGGTGTGGGTCTCGTCTTCCCCGTGGCCGGCACCAGGTTTGTCAGCCGGCGCTGAGCCGTCCCCCGAGCGATTTCTGCAGTCCCTAGGCAAACGGCGTGTGCTTCGTGTGCCCGTTACACCCGTGCCCGGTCAGGGCTGCCGACGTTGAGAGACAGGTTGGGGATTTTAAAAGGCAGCTGTGAGCATGCAGGGGCAGAAAACACGGACGTTGTTCCTGGGTGAGATGGGGTTACTGATGTCCCTGCAATCTCTTAGCATCACCTGTGGCGGTACTATTTTGAACTGATACTGGCGCTCTGCCCGGGTCTGATTTAAAACAAGGTGTCTGTGCCTTAGGCTGCTTGAGTTGGAAACTGGCGTTTGCAGTGTGGGTAGCAAGCTTGTGAATGCTGCAAGTCTTTCAATAGGGGATATTAACTGAATGTTAAAAAAGTAAATCTCCGGTAACTAACAAAGGTGCTGATTTTTTTTGATGAGGAAAAAGGTTGAAAGATTTTAAAAGAAATCAGAAAGATTTGACGTTTCTTATGGTTCGGTATCAATACAATTGTGACTTCTTCCTTGAACAGTCTGATTCACTGAGGTTAATCTGAGAAATCTGATCTGCAGGCAGAGAGTATTTCTTAGATTTTTTTTATTTTTTTTTTTTTTCCTCTCTCCATGTGGTAAGACTACGCAGAGGTCATGAAAGAATCAAGCCAAGACCAAGTTCTGGTCTGTCAGTTGCGGAATTAAGTATGAGAAATGTTGTGACCGGAGGTTAAGGGTGTTTTGCTGCCGTTGCAATGCAATTTAAAAGGGGAAGGGATGATGAAACACTTGTAAAAGAAATTGGCTTAAACACAGCTGTGCCATTTCCTTCCTTTCTATTCTGGACTTCATACTAACAACAGATTTCATGCATGCACTGTGACGCGTTCTTGGCCGTGGAGTTCTACAGGGACAGCTTATTAGTCCACAGCCTAGGTCTCTTCCATGTTTTACTCCAGGTCCTTTACTTTCCTTATCTCGGCACTCTTCTGAATTTCTTTCTCCTTGCAAAAATGAAGGAAAACATTTGTGTTTTGGCTTAGATGGGTGGGTAATATCTGTGTGTTAGGAAGCATTTTGGGGGTATTGCATTATAAAGGCAATTTCATAGAGTCAATTCTTGATGTTTTTATCCTGGGCTGATGCTGACATTCTGGTTCAAAGTATTGCTTGTGTTGTTAGGGTTTTGGTTTGCTCCAGAACCTTCTATATGTTTTTTGGGGTTTTTTTCTTCCCTAATAGAATTTGCATGCTTCTAAAACATAAGGGTTGGTTACAGAGCTCCCTAACTGGTATTTCTATTTCTAGAGTCATCTGTTACATGATTCAAATTGTACCCAGCTGAGTATCACTGGAGGACTGAAATCTTTTGGCCTTCAGGCCGCTTCTAGGCCATATATCACTGTGACGGTCCCAAAAGTTTAATCTGCTGTTTACAGTTAAAAACAGCAATATCGGTTCCTGGGCAGAACTGTGCACAAAGTTGTGTATCGTGATGGGCCATTCCCTGGAACTTGTAGTTGTGTCCATCCGGATCTCAAAGCCGTATCTCAAAAGGTGGGAGTAGTAAATAGTATGTAACAGTCAGGAAAATCACTAGACAAATAGGCTTTGTCATCGGAGATACTTCTTTCCTGTGATGGTTGACTGGGACCTTAGTCCTGTGCAAGCAGGACTGGAGTTTGTTTTGACTTTGCCTGTTGAGTTTCTATTCTTTTATAGTAAATGAGGCTTCTCTTTCTTAGCAGCAGCAAAGAGAGGAGTATCTAAAATTAACCTTTTAGACATTGTAAAATAGATGCATATTCTGTAGCAGTAATTCAAAGGCAGCTAGGTTTTGCTTGGACGAAAACTTAGTAATCATGTCGGAGGAAACACATAATTGTGTGGTGCTGATCAGGATGAGGTATCTGTTTTTAAGGTTACAGCACTTCGAACAGGAACTTTGCACTGAAAAATACTTCTCCTTGCAGGCAGTTCCAAGGCTGCATCTTTGCACTGGACAGGTGAGCGAGCTGTCAGTGTCCTCTTGCTGGGTCTCCTTCCTGCAGCCTACCTGTATCCTGGACCAGCCATGGACTATTCACTGGCTGCAGCCCTCACTCTCCATGGCCACTGGTAAGCACAATAGGTCCCTCAGAATTAAGAGTAAAGTCTGATAGTCAAGATGACTCCAAGCCTTTGGTCTTAAATCTGGTCTTACTCTCCAACTTATGACAGTCCTGATCTTTGGCAAGACTAGTTGAACCTTGGTCTTCCTTTCTCACCCTGTTCTTTCAGTCAGAAGGCAGGGTACATATTACTATTAAAGAATCCGTAAACATTCTCTAGTGTTCTTTTAAACAGTGTCTTACCTTAGGAGGTCTTCCTTGCCACTGGCTGTGTAGAATCTTGGATGTTTTTATCTTGCAGAAGAATCAGTGTCGTGTGAACAGAGGGAACAGAAACAGGACAGATCTATATAAAACAAGTTGTTCTAAGGTTCTGTGCTGTGGGCTGGCTTTGTACATCTCAGTGGTGATGAGATTCTGCATAATAAAGAGTACATAGCAAATATTCCACTAAAGAAGCTGAGACCTTGATCTTTATTTTCTTGATTCCTGGGAAATGGATGCTTGCTTGTGGTGGTGTTCTTAAGTTTACTTCTGTTGTGCTCTTTAATGTGAGTAGGCTAGATGAGTCTAGTTAGGAGTGCATCCAGCTGTATGGTTGGCCTAACTGGCAGTATTTACATTCTTGAGGTGATACCCGTCTATAATTCCTTGTCAGAGGGATAAAGCAGATAAGCAACATCATGGTACTTTGGGATGCCAGGTTTTCTTAAATCTCAGTTTTGCCCTTACAAAGTTGTACAAGGGATTCTTGCACTTTCCTCAGTGTGACTGGAACCTTCCTGCCAAAGCCCTCAAATCTAGTACAGAATTAATCTGAAATGTGTCTCATCCTTGAACATACTTGGCAGAGCTCTTTCAAATGTAAAATACATAAAGCTAAGTTTGCCTGCCTTTGGAGCATTTAGTTGTTTGGTATGCACATGTTGGCGCCTTACTAGATGTGACCATGTGGGGAAATTCCAGGCAATGGAACAGATTGTTGCAGGTTGATGTGTTGAAATGGGTTCTCTGGACAACATTTTGTGTCGATGCACATACATTTGATTCTTTAGTGAATGTGTCTTGCTGATAGAAGTGTCAGGACTGTTTGTACTAGAAATCCCTTTTCCATAAACAGACTTCCCCTGTGAGAAAAATGTCTTGCTGCTTGCATGCAGCTCTGCTGGCAACTTAGGTCAGAATGAATTCCTCCCCCACTTGTGTGGGTTTTTTGTTCTCTCTTTAGCTGGAAAGTTTCTCCAATATTAAACTCTTACATCACAAAACATTGTCTTAAAAACCTAAAGGTGTTCTTAGGTAGAAAAATTCTCCTCTTGTACTTTCATAGGCATTCAGTGCTAGAATATCTTCAAAAGAAAAAAAGATCATTTGCTTGCCATAAACATTAATTTGATTGACGTAACAGCTCAGATAATCCCTCTAGTAGCTGATCAGTAACTGCAAAGGAATATTGCGTATGTTTTTGAGGGCTTTTCACTCACCTTTTGCTGCGTTTTTCCTTAGGAAATCTTGCCCTAAAATATGTGGGAAATAGCACTTCAGATATTTAGGTGGTTATGGCCCAGTCACTAATCTGTTAATAGACTTACTCAAGATACCTGAAGCCATGTTTGTCTTGTACAATTTTTTCTGGCATGCAATAAAGATTTCTCTGCCCGGTGAAGCTGCTGTGTTGTGAGCTAGATTATGCGTGTACCACACATCAGCTATTTCTCACAAATTCCCTTCCTTGTTCTCAGGGCCACTGGTCTTTTCCCATGAGGACTTCATGTGAACTGATTAGTGTGTTGTAAAGTCACACACCCATTTTTCTGGGAAGTCTTAGTGTGACTCAGTCTTATTGTGCCATGCAAAGAAAAGATCTTATGAAAATCCCTTACCAGGCACTACAGTTGGAGGGCAGCCTGTGATTCCCAAGCTGAGTATGCCATATTTATCTGCACTTTGGAAGGCTCAAAGTGTGGGTAAGTGCTGCTTGCACTCCTGACCTTATTCCACTGTCCAGTTGCAAAAAATAGCTGTAATAGTTTGAGAGTAGTTGCCTTTCAGTCTGCTTCCATGTTCTGCTTCTCTTCTGTGTATCCAGGGGTTCCTTGCACCCCTTTTCTCGCTTTTGACATCTTTATGATATTAGCACCCCATCTAAGTGAAAGTGAGCTCAGTGTTTGCTTGCAGTGGTGCCTGCTGCAGTACTTTGAGCCTTGCTAGGTCACTAGTGTGTCTTAATTTGTGGGACACAGGTCCTTCAGCTTCAGGCTAGACTAAGGCAAAATCCTAGGAAGGAAATTGTTGCATTAAGTATGGTTCTCTTTTCTACCAAGTTGACATCTGTCAGTGCAGAAAGCAAATACAATTGTACTTTCGGGAAGAGAACTACCACACTAGTTTAATAGCATCCTCTGTCTTACTCTTGCTGGATAGTTTAAATCTAGACAGGAGTTTGCTTCTAGCCTGACAGGTGTAGAAAAAACACCCCAGAGTATGCCATTTTTTGGTTGCCACTATTTTCTAATCTAAATACACATCGTGGAGTCTATTGTGCATTTGTGACAGTGGCTGGTCCCAGAGCCACACACCTTTCTGTTCAAGCAGGAAGGATGTTTCCTTTGTTACTTTTCTTCAGTCCTTGGAAGTCAGTTAAGCTGCCCACTGTTTCTTGGAGGCAGATTCTACAGATTCTATTGTTTCAAAGAGCTGTGCTCAACACTTTGTTTCCTCAGTACTATTAAGAAAACTCTGAGCCAATATGTATATTTTTTAATAGAATATGTGGAATGTGGTTCTGTTTTGTTCTTATATAGATGCATCTTCTTTTTGAGTGGGAACTGGGCATTTTTTAGGAAAGGTTGATGATAGAGGGTAAAAAAAAAGTATGTGTTTGAGCCATCTTAGTAGAATGCTCACATAAACTGGGTGGATTTCAGTAAGGAATGCCCTTCCCTGATTTAATCCTTTTTCTCCCTCTTATTCTGTAGGGGTCTTGGACAGGTTATAACTGACTACGTCCATGGAGATATACCCATTAAACTGGCCAATACAGGTCTGTATGTACTGTCGGCCGTTACCTTTGCTGGCCTCTGCTACTTCAATTACTATGATGTTGGTATCTGCAAGGCTGTTGCCATGCTGTGGAGCCTCTAAGATGCGACTTAGGCCCTGACAAACACGATTGTTCGCTGCTGCCTCTGCTTCATCATATTTTTACCGATGTGTTTAATTGAAAACAGATGAATAACCAAGGGTCCATAGTATGTACGCATTGCAGCGAGTTCAGAGCTAGCCTTCTAGAAATTAATATCCAACAGCAGTAAAAATGTTAGAAAAGAGAAAGTAGATTTAAAGTGGATAATGTCCAGCTGAGAGTGTGTTGATTTAAGCTGCGCTGTAAACTGGGAGGAAGTAATTACATCAACGACAGACTGACTGAAGGTAACTTTCCTTGTAATGACAGCTTTAATGAGTGTTTTTCTGAAATAACTGTTGGTTTCCTATTTTGTAAAACAAACTTGACTTGCGGAAAATTGAACTGTTAGTTCTGACATCACAACAACTGAACTGTATGTAAGCACACCCTGTAACTCATTGGACCCTGAGAGTTAATGCAGAAAAGGGAATACTTTTTTCTTAATCCATACAATAAAGAATTTACAGAAATTGTATGTGTGTGCTTCTGAATGGTTTTTACTACTTTTGGGTTACTTAAAATATTTTCTCTGCAGATAGTTTTTATTTTCTAAAATCAAATTCAAATACTAACTCATACTGTTATGTTACTGTTTATACTGTTACTCTGCATTGCTTCATTTAGTTCTATAAAACAAAAAATATTTTTATGAATATGTATTGTCCTTAATACTTAAAGAGGTGACTTAGCCTTAACTGAGTACAAGAGTAAGGTCCGTTAGAAAATACAGCAATAATTGACTTGGAGGAAAAGGCTTTTGCAGATTAATTTTAGGAGCCATACATGGTATATGGCTTTCTTAGTTTCCCTGGTACCTGTATGTTCATCTGCAACATCTGTTTTTGGCTTGTTTTCTGAATAAATACTGGTGCACGTTTTCCTGTGTGACTGAAAAGACAACACACCTACCCTTTCTGACATGGCTTGACATGAGACCGGGGCAACATTCTTTTCTATGGCTTTAGGTTTTAGAGCATTTGAGGGGGGGAAAGGAGGTTCTGGTTGTCTGAGTTTCATAGTAGTAAGGAGTGGTTAACTGCTTCCACATTCTAATGGTACTTCTGTGGTACTGTTGATAGTAAGAGGAAGAGAATTGTATGTTACCCTCAGTCTGATTATGCAATAAACAGAATAAGTTGCTGTTTGAATTCTACAAGACTTTCTGATCATCTTTCATTTTTTTAAAAATCTGGATTGGAATTTTTATTTATTTACTTATTCACATAACCATGGGAAATACCACGTAGCAGGCCACTTCTGTTTTGTTAATCTTGTGGTCAGAAATGAGATGGTTGCTTTTGTCTGATGTGGTCCGATTTAGATATCAATGTAACAGTCGTTATTTTTGTCATAGTGAAGAAGCCCCCCCAGCAAATTCTTCCTAAGTGATAGTGCACTCAGTGGTGGCTGTACCTGATTCTAAATTACTGGTTTCTTACTGCCTCTAGGTGCTCCTGTAGCAGCTAGATACGTGAAATGGCAGGGGCAGCAGAACATGAAAAGCGGAGACAGTCAGGGGTTATCCCAGCAGTTTCATGACTCTGTGCTCTTTTAAAGCCCCTGAAATTATAATTTGGTTTGGGTTTTACCAAAATGAGTGTTGAGGCTTATCACTTCTGCAAGTTTGAGGGTTTTCCTCCATTTCATGACAGGTAAGAGGCTTTCCTGTTTTCTCTGATTACTTCTGCCTGTATGGGGTATGACAATTGTACCAGTTCCTCTGCCTGACAAGTTGAAGACCCAGGACCCCAGCTGCAACCAATGTTCAGGTTATCACTTCCTGGAGTTGGAACAGAAGAGGAAAACCAACACTTGTATGTAGAAGAAAATAATAATAATAATAATATATGCTGTATTATTTTCCTCAATATTCAGAATGCATTACATTAATTTTGGCCTTGGTGAAATCCAGTGCTTGCTCAGCTCTGAATGTGAAATGGAGTTCACAGCCTGACCTGACTGTATGCTGTGTTTTCACCTACAGAGTATGGTCGTTATGGGAGCCAGACATATCTACATTTGTTCCAAATTGCTAGGACAAATGTGTTGCGTTTCATCTCTAACCTACAATTTACTGTTAACTTTTTTAAACCTTTACATAAAAGCATAATTCATTTTTTGCTTGGGCCCTCTGAGGACAAACAGCTTTACTAGAACTTCAGTTGTTCATTCAAAGCAAAGATTTCCAGTAAGTTAAAAATCGTCTTTTGTTTCTACTTCAGCTCAAGGTGAGAATGTCACTGTGTAACTGAGATTAAGATAATCTTAATGCAAAAAAGTAATCTCAAAGTGTTTATTGGACAGGTGCATCATCTGTTTATGAAATCTGTTATTTTAAGCGTTTTTCTCTCCCTCCCCAAAATAGATCTACTTCATCTATGAGACACCTAATTCAAAAGTTGTTTGATGAGCAGGCAATAAAGACTTTAGGGATCAAACTATACCAGACTACATAGGTATGCAAATTTGTGTTTCATCATTGTGCAATTATCTTCCCTTCTATCTGACTGGAATACATTCTTCTGCTGCTTTTTGCCAAGAATTTTAATTTATTTCCCTTTGTAAGATGCTAGTTTTTGTGGTGACATATAGTAGCTGAAAACATAAAACTGACTTGCATTAGACAAAGAAAGAATAAGGTTTCTTTTATAAAAAGCCAAAATGTATTTTAAAACTGTTGAAGTACATCATAGATTCTGACTGAAGTCAGAAACTTATCTTCGTGGTTTCATCCACTTCATCTTCTCTTGACAGTTTCTTTAGAATTAATTTTCTTAAGCAGCCTTCTTCCTCAAAGGCCAAGAACATTCCTCGTTCTAGTGAGTATTCAAACTTGAATGCTCTGGAGCTACAAGATGTAAATGTCTTTTTGAAAAAGATTACATTACTTTCACCAGGAATTTCTTTGGGAACTTCTCCCTCCTGAAGAAGAAAAAGGAAATGGGGTTAGTCCCAGCTCAAGACCTGAGCAGCTTTGTTTCAGCTCGCACGTTTGAATTCTTTATTTTGCCTGCTGCTTACATATACATAAGGTATGGAAAGCAGGTACTTACCCTAAATCGAACTATCATTTTTCCACATTCTTTCTCGCAACACATGTAATAACTTTTATCTTCTACCTGGACGCTGAATGCAACAGGCATCCCTGCTAGAGGTGTGGTAGTTTTGTAATAGTGAATGTTGAAGTGCATTCCATTGCCTAAATATAAATAGGTTATTATTAGTAGTTGGCTCAGGAGAGAGCTGCAACAACTTAACCACATGATGTCTTACCTTTTCACTGTCAACTTTTCCTGACAGGAGAGCCAGGACTCTGATTTTTGTGACTACTGGTAGCACATATTTGACGTCTGCAATCATTCAAATAACCAAGATTTTGAATTTGCAAGAAAGCATGTGAAGTTAGCAGTTAGTATGGGCAGAATGTTCAAATCCTTTTACATGCATGCATAAAGTGAGAATTGGATTTGTAAATAGTCATCTGTAAATCAGATTATATCTGCATATATGCGGTCTGTAAATAAATATGTTCAACAAACATAGTTCTGAATTAATTGCAGAGCGCCCCCCCCCAAAAAGCCAAAACCATTGTTAACTATGCCTGTAAGAAAAAAAGTAAGATCTTTTAGTGCTAAACACTAATCCAGGAATCTAATCCATTACCAATGCACAAGACGCAAAATTTAATCTCTCAGTTAAACTTAATTTGTAAGAATTAAGCTAAAGTCTTTACTCTCTGTCTTATCGTTTAGAGTCGGTGATTACAAAGAACAAAAGCACATCTAGAATAAAGAAACGGTGTAATGGTTATAGTATACATTTGAAAAATGAGGTACCAGATTTCATCTCCTGATCTGTCACATCTTCAAAAGCTGCCATGTTTAAATCTGGTCGAACCACAAGCAGCTGGCTATTTACATTTCGAAGGACTCGGTGGAGAATTTTTTCCTTACAAAAGGCATCACATTCCAGCCCTATAGAAATATTAAGCAAAGAGGGTCAATATTTTAGCTGTAATCTCAGATCTTAACTGTTTGCTACAGGCTTAATCTTGTCATTAAGAATACCAGGTGAAATAAGTTCTTAGAATGGCAATCGCAAACAAAATGGAGGACATGTCATTCTTTCCACCTCTGTCTTGTAGCAACCCAAGCAAGACAGGGATTTCCCCAAATACAGTAGTCTGTATATATAAGCAGGAGAAGCTACTGTATCTGTTAATGAGAGTTCAGAAGCAACAGTTCTCTCTTTTGCCTAACAATTAAAATTGCATTTAAAGGTCCTTCTGTTAGGGAAGCCACCACCCTGTACCTTAGGAGGAAATAAAGCAACGTCAACTTCAGAAGGAGGTGAGCTGTAGCTTTCTTTTACAGTAGCTGTTACCAGTTTGAAAACTGATTCTCTAAGGCACACAAAGCATTTGTGGGTTAGTAAGCATGAGCAGGTTAGTTCAGGTAAAATTGATAATGAAGTCAATAAATGATGAGCTTTCAGCTTACCATCATCGTCTTGGTTCCAAGTGAGCAATGAAAAAAAGGAAAGAAAAAACAATGTTAAGCTCTGCCCCTAGAAAAGAAACCACTTTCTACCCAGTTTTGTTCTGCAAGATTGGAAGCCAGCCAGCCACCTACGCATTTCCAGTTGTACTCCCCAGCATCACTAACTCACCAAGCTGAGTTGTTCTAACTACAGAGTGTGTTTTGTGAGCATAACAAACTCAACAGAATGATGAAACCGCCAGTCATTTGAGAACTGGAGTTACCACCAAACTGAGAGGCATGCAAAATGTTTTAGGGTTACTTAAGGGTGAGCAGTTCATGTGAGTTTAAGCCTATAACCAAGGAATAAATGGCATGCAATTTTTTTTTTATCAGCACCTTTATTCTAAGTGAGCAAATGGACAAGAAACAGTCATTACAAATTGCTTCTAAAGAAGAGACTGTTTTCTAACTAATTCTATCCTATAAGGTTGGAAGTTATCCAGTTATTCCAAGTCCAAACCCACAGTATTCCAACTCTTCTGAGCGTACTTTAGGGGAATATATTTTATGAAGCAATCTTCCACTGACTCAGATAGTTGGCTCACACTACTTCAAACTGAAGCTTACGGAAAAATTAGGTGAAATCAGACTGCTAAGGGAGTTGGTTTTAAGCAGTACTCAAACAAAAACAGTTATTAAATGCTTCAAGTGTTCAGCAATACTATGGTACTGAGCTGTTCACACACTGGGACAGCTGTCTCAAGCTCAGACTTTTCGCAGTGAACGCCCTGGCTCCATAATCTAAAAATTATCGTTCTGCTAAGTGGGTGGGGGTTGTAACTGCTTTGAGGATTGCTCAAGTAACACGAGAGGAAGAAAAACAGGATTCCACAAGACCAGGGATGCCAGCCCAAGGAAAGTATTGAATTGTGTATTAGCTGTTGATCTTCTACGCAGAAATAAGACAGAGTGTGTCTCTTTCAGCAGTGGGTAGTAATTACCTGCAAAATAGAGGCAGAAATTTTTTCCAAGTTGTACTGCACACACAAGAATCTCTTCACCACTCATCTTCACTCTGCCAAAAACACACAGAGAGGATTCAGAGTTAAGAACAATGCTTCTTACTCCATAAAGCAAGGGAGTTCTTGGGCTGGTTATTCTTCTAGTGCAGAATACTATAGTAGGGCCGGCAGGTTTCACTATCTGATGAAAACCTGCTTTTTAAAATAATTGATCTTCTCCTCTGTTGCCTTTTATAAATACTTAACATAGGGCATCCTTCAAGTTCTGTTATTCTGTAAAACTTTTCATTGACTTACATGATTTACAGGAATAAATAACAACTTATTACCATTTTCTCTTTCTATGAGAATGCTAATTAGTAGCTCCATGAACATACTTCATCAAATTAATTCTCTTCTCTTGGGCCTGCAAAAATTATCTTACTAGAATTTGATTTTCCTTTTCTAATTCTCAAATAGGGAAGTGACTAAGACTGGGTTAAGCACCCTGTTACTGGCTATTAAGCCATAAAGGTTATATTAAGTCTACACAGACTGACCTTTCTGGCTTCCCTTATAAAAGACAGAACTTCCAAAATACCCCAAACTTAGTCCATCTTTGACTGCCCTTTGGTAAGACCTGTATCTTCTGCCTCTTGAGCTGGAATTTGGGATGTAGTTTATTTTGCAGTAGCAGTGATTTCCTTATGGTGTTTTAACTTTATTTTAACTCAGGTTGAATGATGAGCTGGATTCCACAGCTGTTCTCTTTCAAGAGTGGCACAGAGAAAAGTGAAGAAGAAAAGGTACCTTTCCCTTAGGAATAACAACAGTCATTTTACAAAAAAAAAAAAAAAAAAAAAAAAAAAAATAAACTGAACTAATCATTAAGGACCAAACAGCTTCTGCAGCTGAGAGGTTCCAGCCCCTGTTGTACACACTTCAGGGTTAATTTAGAACTAGTCCAGAGCTGCATTCTACTTCTAATGTCAATACACAACCCCCTCCAAGAACTCCAGAAAAATAATTGGCTAGGACTTGAACTGCAAAGCCTAATGTTTCCGTCATTTTACTGCTGTTGGGATGGTTGCCATCGGAAGGAATAATCTAAGACATGAGCACTAAAATATTTTTATTTTAAAACTGATGATGATATCCTCTTCAAAATTAAAATAGCATCTCCTACCTTAAAGAAAAGTGAGAATAAGAAAAAAGGGAATTATAATACGACAAAGAAAGATGTGGCAAAGAATTTCATTCTTTCTCTTCTCTGGTGGTAGACAGTTTTAAAATGTCCTCTTCTATGCCACTATTTCTGTGAAATGCAGGTTCTCATTTTCCTTCCTGTTTCACTTTGGTCTCTATCTTAGTAAGGGGTTTGTTCATTTTCCTAAAACGCTTTCTGTGTATGAATGTTCTTACCTGTTTTATCTACGTTTCTAGAAATAAAGGCATTTTACTTGCCAAAAATAACAACTAGCTACTTTACTATCTGCAAGATCTGATTTGCTTGGCTTTGTGACTAGTGTAAAATTTTTGGCCAGATGCACAAAGTAACGTGCACAGTGACATTCATCATCACTGCCTCTAACCTTTATGAGCCCAGCATCCGTATGGAGCCTTCAGCCTGGAGCTATGTGCCTAGCCTCTGAATACAATAAATGGGAAGAGACAGGCACAGCAGAATGCACAAAAACGTGTTAAACAGACAGCATCAAACAAACAAAGCCAACAACAGTGAATGTAAAAACACCAAAGTCACTTTTTGTAAGTAGACTAGAGCATGAAGTGCTTCATTCAAACCTACCAACTCCTGTCAAGGCATTCTTTCGCCTTGCACTAGCCACAGAAATAATAAATGTAATAAATGTGTTAAAGCTAGGTGAACAATGGGAAGAACTGGCTCTTGCACTGTGATTGCATTGTGCAGTCAAAACATTTGGCTTACTTCCAAGGCTCTTTTTCACTACTTGGAAAGGCTTACTATACAAAATAACTGAGCAATGCCAACTTAAGTAAATAAGCGCACACATCAACCTTAGGGATTGGGGCATCACAGTGATTTCCTTGTCCCTCTAGCAAAACACTTTGAGGAATATATTTGAGAGTGATTTTTTTCTCATCCCGTTTTTTGTATGGACTATAGTTCTAGCTGGTCTGTGCAAAAGAGACACACAGGTTTATAGCAGAGGACTGCATCTTTGTTTCCAAACATGCATACCCCAGCTTTTGAAACCAAGTACCGCACCACCAAACAGCCTCATAAGTAGCGAAGTAAACCAAGAAGTTTAATAATAACCACCCTGTTATTCTGAAGCAGAGGGGAAAGCACAGACAGGACTTAATTGATAAAGGATCAAAGGAGGTGGCGGCCCTTGGTGTAACGGGTAACAGACATCAAACGACCACACTTCTTCCCCCGATGCGTGATAAAAGCTAGTTAGATCTTTTACCAAGCACGCTTGAAAGGAACAGCAGAAGCTAAAAGGAGCTTTCAGCCGACTGTTCGAGGCAGCGCGTACCGCCTTGCCCCGCGGAGAAAGGGAGATGCGGGGGG